AAGCTGTAAAATGACACAAGTATCACTTTATATTAATTAGTAATAGTTGGTGATTCAGTTCAATTCAACAAGGAAGAGCCCCAATAGGATAAATTAAATTAGTTCTAATAAGGTGGATGAACCTAGAGCCTATTATACAGAGTGAAGCAAGTCAGAAAAACAAACATATTAACACATATATATGGAATCTAGAAAGATGGTACAGATGAACCTTTCTGCAGGGCATCAGTGGAGACGCAAACATAAGAGAATAGACTGTAGACAGAATGGAAGAAGGAGAGGGAAGGATTAATTGAAAGAGCAACATTGAAACATATACACTACCATGTGTAAAATTTATAGCCAATGGGAATTAGCTGTATGATACCGGGAGCTCAAACATGATACTCTGTGACAACCTAGGAGAGGTGGGATGGGATGGGAGGTGGGAGGGAGATTCAAGAAGAAGAGGACATATGTAAACCTATGCCTGATTCATGTTGATGTATGGCAGAAACTAACACAATATTGTAAAGCAATTATGCTCCAATTAAAATTTTTCAAAAGTGTAAAAAATTATGTTCCAGATATTTAAGCTTTTTCTTTTTAGCAAAATCAAAACAAAACTGGGAACTGAACAGGCAGCACAAGAAAGCTAGTCATTTTAAACAATTTTGTTGCTTTTTGATTGCTTTGAATAAGATTAACTTCCATATCACTATAAGGACTAAAATGATGGGGGGAAATGCCCTGCTTTCTAAAAGAAACTTGTACAACCAGACCCAGTTCCAGATTTGCCCTGAAAATCTTATCTCATCCTAATCAAAACAGAAATAGTAAATGACAAGGAAAAGGAAAACAGTTGGCTCTAGGAACAACAAGAAGAGATCACTGTGAGGAAAGAAATTAAAAACTAATAAAAGCCAACACAGGATCACAGAAGTCAGAGCTATTTTAAACACATCTCGTTTCCCTAAGTAACACTTTCCTTTATCATTGGTGTTAGCATTTCCTGGAAGAGTGTACAAAATCTGCAAGAACATTGATTTCTAAAGCATTTCTGTGTTCCTTATCTAAAGTACAGTCAACAATTGCTGTTCAAGTTTTGGTTTGAAAACTGGCAAGGAGAGATCAAAGACAGGCAGATGACTTCCAGTTGGTAGGTAAGTTTAATAATCAGGGAATGTACATAGGAAGTTTGTTTGGAAGCAGCTGCAAGATAAATGGATCTCTGTGCCTATTTAAAAGTTTATACAGAGGCCTTAACGAGGTTCAGCCATGTACACTGTCCAGATGGTCTCAATAACACATTGCTCTCTCAAGGCTGCTTCCTTGAAAATGGCTCCCACTGTGGAAATGATGGGCCAAAAGTGCATTTCAAGGACAGGAGAGAGGGTAAGCAAACTGACTGCCCAGGTCCAGCTCACAGGCCAACTGGTGGTCAACTCAGTAAACTACTCTGACACCAAAGAAACATATACTCCTTCTGAGGCTCTAGTCCCACAACACTAGCCAGTCTTTCAGTATTACATGGTCAACTTACTGTATTATGTGAAGAAGACTTTCATCATATATCAGCAAATACGTAACAGACCCTTCCCATTAAAACAAAAACCCTTCCTGATCTTTTAGATTTCAGACAGAATGACTCCTTGTCATAGATCCAGATCACCAACAATTTACCCAGATTAAGCAACAGCTTGCTTGCTCCCATGATGGATCTTTTTACAATGGTTCTGGCAACACCATGATTATAAAAGTTAAAACTCGGCTTTGAAGATGCCAGAAATTCATCAGACTCACCTTCACCTGAACTTGACACTTTGTCTCCCAGCTTCCACCCCTGTTTACCCTCTCTCACCTATTTATGGTAACAGGATGGATCATTCATAGTCCAAAATGCCAGAATACTGTTAAGCAAGCATGTATGAATGAAAACTCAGTTTGGTGTCATCAGAGATAGGAAGAAAAGACAAATGAGACTGAAATCTGAGTAACTGTCAGGGTGTTCCAACAGTACCATTCCTCTGAAAAATAAAGTGAAAGTAAAACTACTAATACCGATTACTAACTTAATTCTTTAGGCCAGTCAATACCAAATCATGATGCCATTTAAATGCAAAACAGACACAGAAATTCGGATATGAAAGCATTCAATATGCAGACACCTTGAGAAACAGTTTAAAGATGCCAGAACTGCACACCTGGGGGGAATATCACACACCTGCAGATGGTTCTTTGCACTAGCTCTGGGTAATGCAGGTCAGCTGACCCAAGAGGATGGCTTCATAATTAGACAGCTCTTTACTCTCCAGTTGCTCCACCTAAGAAAACCTGAAGCTTAGAGGATGACTGAGCAGCCATTCCCTTCTACAGAAACACTTGTGTGGTACCATCAGGAGTGGTTTTAAATGGTGGAGATAATTACTTAATTCAAGCTGTAGCAACTGGCCAAGTAAACATGTAGCAGCCAGGAAGCTATTAGCATGATTTTAAGGCAATTATTCCATTAGCGTTTAATAGTCTCCAATTAGTCTTCCCTGACTATCAAAGTTTGAACATCTTTTTTTCCTCCAAAAATTCTCACAGTTTGAGTAATGCAGAAAGGTACCAAACCCATTTTTAAACCTGGATTTATATGTGTAGATCTGCCAACCCTACATTACAAAATCATGGGGGAATTGAGGAATGCAGATGGGCAAAATAGGGTTTTTATCTCAGAATTATTGAGAATGAGAATGGAAAGCTTTGCAAGGGATCCACTTTGAGTATAAAACTAAGAGAAGTTAGGCAAGCAGTGGAAATTCCCACTGTGTCGAGTGCTGTAGAACTATCAGGTTCAGGTTTCCACCTTGTCCTGTGGGAACAAAAGAAAATTCCTTCCGCTCCTGCCAATGCCTTATTTCCTTGTCCTTTCAGCCTGGTTAGTACTTGTTGCTGCTGAATCATCCAGATCCAAACCACAAAGCATTTCCCTCCAAAATTCCTAGATATTTTTTCTAAGGACCATATTTAAAGATCATATCACTGAACTGATAGCAGGTCATTTCCCTTCACTGAGATGCAACTTTCATATCTGTGAAATGGAGTTAATACTTATCAGCATCAGTAACCAGCTTCACAAGGCTTGGGGAAGGATTATGTTATCTGGGTTATATGTTAGGGCTTTGAAAAGTGAAATATTATAAAAATGTATGTTAAATTCAGACATGATATCATGCCATCCCTCAGAAGTTTCTATGTGAGCTTGAGCTTTTAACCTCCCTGTGTCTCTGGAGAGTCACCTGTCAGGAGGCTAGCACCAGACTCCTTGCCCTTCTTACCTTTTAGGCCTCCATAAATGCTCAGGTGAGACCATGTTAAAGTACCTGTCTAAAGACCAAATAAGAAGGAAGAAAAGGGGATAGGGATGCCTGCGGAAGTGAGAGTGGAATTTTGCCAACAAAATTCTGTAGTTTCTACTGTCTCCTCCAAAAGAGCAATCCCTAGGCTCACCCGGGAGCAGGGTAAATGCAGAGCGGAGAAGCTGGCTTGTTCTCTTCCTTAGAGACACCTGGGCTCTTGGGAAATTCCCTCCTGAAGAAGGGCAAGAGGAGACAAACCCTTCCCTTCCAGGGCTGCTGCTCAGAGGGTAGTCTGTGTCTGTCATAACCGCCAAATATCCATTTGACTAAAGACCATTGACTTCAGTTACTGATCAATTCCAGGGCTACTGGTTAGAGACTTTCAAGAAAAAAAATTTTTTTCTTAAGCATGATTTCCCCCAGTGGCTGAGAGAGGGCGCCGGATGGGTAAGAGCTAGAGAAGGTAGACCAGAAGGTTGAACTTGATAACCCGGCATAGCTCGAGACAAGGGACGAACTACTTGTCGGTATTTTGCCCTCTAGTCCAGTCCTGAAAGGGTCAGGCGGATCAGGGAGATAATCTGCACTCTCGGCCCAAGGGAAAAGTCAACGAAGTATGGCTGTGAACCCAGCTGTCACCGTGGGATACCGTCCTGAAACCACCGTGCCCCTGCACATCCGAACTAGGGTCTGCTGCGCTCCCGCCCCCAGAAACCTGCCCAGTTCCCTGGTCCAAGTCGAGCGCTTCATGTTGAAGCGTCTGACCCCTCCAGACTCTTCCTCGCTTTGCTCAGGCTTCCTTCTTTCTAGCCTCCCTGGACACCAGCGCAATCATCTTTACCCTAAGATTTGCGGGTGAAGCCCACCCCTCCGTCGCATTTCACGCAGGTTCCCCTGCCCGGCTTCTGTCCCGAGCAACAAATGCACGGTCCACGAGGGTTCGCTTTCCTGACCCGCGCGCTGGACTCTGCTCACCGCCCTTGGACCAGAGTCCAGATGGTGACCACTCGGCCAGGCCGTCTAGGTCCACGCAGATCAGGAAACGGCTCCCCACATTCCTCTCCCCGCTTCGGCTCCAGGTCAAGGGCATCGATCAAGCCGCCGGCGGTCCCTGAACTTTCATCACTCTTCGGGAAGCGCTTTGTCTCTTTAAAGGAGACTAGGGACGAATATTAATGACTCGGGGAGCTTCTCATCGAGAAATCCACCAAATTCTCTTGATTCCGTGACAGAGATGGAGTCGGAGGTCCACGGGCCAGAGCCCAGCCCTTAGGACAGCGGCTCGCGCTCGCCGACCACCAATCATCCCACAGCCCCAAAAACCGTCCCCAGACCCAAGTCTCCGGGGGGGAAACTGGGGGGCTGGAGGGGGGGGGCTCGAGGGGCCATCCTAGAGTCAAGCCTTTCCCCTGCCCCAGCCCTCTCGACACAACCTGCTTCAAAAACCCATGGAAAGGCAATCACCTTGACTCCCCGCGCCACGGTCCCCAGAGGTTTGGGAAAGCGCTGGGAGGCCGGAGGCGCCCAGGCACGCACTCGCCTGGCCCGAGACCCACCCGTGGAGACGAGTTTGCCTCCCGCGGGCATCTTGGCAAGTTACCACTTAGTGGAGATAAAGCAGGGCGCGGCAGGTGGAGCGGACGCCGAGCGCCCCGGCGGCAGCCTCGGAGCGCCTACCTGGGATGGCTAAATTGGTGAGGGGTATGCTGTGGATGCTCTCCGGCAGAGTTGCCATCCAGTCGGCGAATTTCAGCTCGTTCTTCCCTTGAGACGAGGCCATCGTGCGGTCGGTGTGCCGCGCGCTGGTCCTCACACTCCTCGGGCAGGCTGGCAGGCTGCTGCCGCTAATCCAATGTTTGCTCCCAGCCCCGCTAGAGTTTACACTCCGCTCTGCGCCACACCCACAGGATGGCGCAGACACATGCTAATTTTAATAATTATTCAAAACACCCCATGCTCCCCGAGTGCCTCTGCCAGACGCCGCTGGAGCTTTTGTTCCGGACGTCCGCACTCAGCTTTCTGCTCTCTCCGCTCCCTCCCCGACTCCCTCCTCCCGTCTTATCCCTCCTCTGCGTCTCTGTCTTTTCTCGCCATTTCTACAGCATTCCTTGGCTTCTTATTATTTATTGTGTGCTTTTTTTTTTTTTAAACTTGGTTCACACAGCTGTTTCGCCCACGATCTTGTTCGGCCCTTTAATGTGACTTATGTTTGAAAGACAATCTTCAGGTTGAAGCTAAAATCCTAGAAGACTTTGGGATGCTATCATCTCCCCCGAGCAGACTCTCATACTGGCTTTCAGGACTTTCCATTCTTACTGAAGAGCTTTTCCTTTCGTAAGCTACAACAGGTTATTTCTTTCCTCAGCTGGGGCCGAGAGCCCTGCTGACAACAAAATGGTGGTCTTTCTTCACCACTTTGCCTAATTTTTGGAGTAGTTGACAAGTGTGCTGTCAGAAAAGATCAGTTAAGTTCTAGGTGGTGCCTATTCAATCCCTGGCATTCTGTTCCAGTCATTTCAAGGTAAAGAAGCACGTCACCCCCATTTCCCTGAATATGAGAGATGTGTGCTCTATCTATGGAGAAAACAGTTTATGTCCTCACTCTGTCATTTTTGTGACACTCAGGATAAGACTAAAGCCTAATGCAAGAAGGAAATCACCACATTTCCCAGTGACATGTTGTAATTATTGCCTACTGGCAATACTACTGTGTTTGGTGGAATTTATTTGGCACCATTCAAAATGATCTATGTGACTGTCTGAATTTTCATTCCTTGGCAGACTAGAGAGATGTACCTCTCTCAAGAGAAATCACTTGTCGAGCCTCCAAAGAACTGTCTTGGTCCACCTGCTCTCAGATGAGAAACAGGAGAGAAATCAAGTCTTACAAATGTGATGAGTCTAGGGGTGGCCTGGGTTGGTATGATAAGCAATAGACTGAAAATGTGCAGGGTCTTAGCAGCTCAGTGAATGTAGATGTAATACAGATGCCTCTGCTCTTTGATCCAGTGATGCAAAGTCCTTTTCTTAAAGTACATGCTGTTAAGTTGGGAAAATGAAAACCCAGGTAGGAAAGAGAGCTATAAAACATAGGAATAACCAGTTTCAGTAAACTATATAGCATTAAAAAGAAAAAAAAATCAAATTTTCTATTCTGCCTTAGAATCAATTCACAGTTGGAAAAGGATATGATGGGGCTATCTTTAAGAATGAGAAAGAGATGTATTGGGATTTTTTTCTTCAAAAGTAAATCTTAATATTCCTGTTAGCACAGTAGAACTCACATATCCTTTTGACTAGGGTAAGAATTCAGCTCACTGAGAAATTCCTGGTCAAGAGACCTACAAACATCACCCTTCTGGTTAATGCTGGTGTTCTGTAGTCATCATTGCAGGACAAGGAGGTGAGCTCAGATCTGGAAATCTGCTGCTCTGAGTCATTTAGGCAAGTCCCCTAGTTTCTGTCAGCCTTGCTTGTCTCCATCATAAACTGGTGACAGTAACTCAGAGATTTGCAGTGAAGCTTCTAGAAAAGAGTACATATGAAAGAGTTTTGTTATCAGCAAAGCGTCATGTAAAATGTGTGATCTCTGTTGATTAAAGTTTCCTTGGTGGCTCAGATGGTAAAGAATCTGTCTGCAATGCAGGAGACCCAGGTTTGATTTCTGGGTTGTGAAGATTCCCTGGAGAAGGGACTGGCAACCCACTCCAGTATTCTTGAGAAATCCATGGACAGAGGAACCTGGCTTTTTTTTTTTTTTTTTTTTTTAAATGAAACCACCTTAAATGTTGAGAAAAGTTGCCTCTCTCGAGAATGGTAAAATAAATAGCTGGTGAGAAATTGCTATATAACACAGGAAGTCCAGCCTGGGGCTCTGTGATGACCCAGAGGGGTGGGATGGGGGAGGGGAGGGAGGTGATATATGTAAAATTATGGCTGATTTGCATTGTTGTATGGCAGAAACTAACACAACACTGTAAATCAATTTTCCTCCAATTAAAAAATAAATTTAAAAAAAGGTACATCTTATCTTTTGTAAAGCAAATAAGCAATCCCTCCTCTATCTGCTTCAAACTTCAGATTTTTTCTAATGTATTGGTTTTCCATGAATCTTCACATTTCACTGCATGCAATCCACTAGGAAGAACAGTGATGAAAGTGGATAGCTTATGAATTTCTTTCCCAGACTTACAATCAGTATTTTAGGCAATTTTATGATCCAGTTTCCCCATCTTTCTGCTATACCTCTGTCATCATTTACTAAATGATATTAGGAATATCATATAATTTCTCTGTGCTTTAGTTTGCCCACTCTATTAGTCAGGGTTTCCAAGAGACACAGAAATATGGATATAAATGTAGATACAGATGTATAGCTCAGATGGTAAAGAATCTGCCTGCAATGCAGGAGACCCAGGTTCAACCCCTGGGTCAGGAAGATCCTCTGGAGAAGGGAGTGGCAGCCCATTCCAGTATTCTTGCCTGGAGAATTCCATGGACAGGGGAGCCTGGAGGTCTATAGTCCATGGGGTCACAAAGAGTTGGACTTGACTGACCTACTAACATATAGATGTATAGAGAGATTTGTTTTAAGCAGTTGACTCATATAATTGTGAGATCTGGCAAATCTGAAAGGCAGGTCAGCAGGCTGGGAGCCCAGGTAGAATTTCTATGTTGCAGCCTTGAAACAAAATTCTTTGGGAAACCTGTCTGCTCTTATTACCTTCAACTGATTAGATGAGGTCCACCCACATTATAAAAAGTAATTTGTTTTTTTCAAAGTCAAATAATTGCACATGTAAATAATTGCATCCACAAATACCTTCACAGAAACATCTAGACTGGTGTTTGACAAAACTAGTGAGTGTCACAGCCTAGCCAAGTTGACACATGAAATTAATTATCATACCCAGTGACAAACTAAACTAGAAATTGTTACTAATCTTCTCTTTTGACTCTATTATCCCACTCTTCTACTTCTTTTATGATTATTTCTCATGCATATAGTTAGTAATAATAGCAAAAGGAGGAACGAAAGTATTTAGTTTTTTTTTACTCTATCCAGAGTATTCAAGGTTGTGGATCAACATTTTTACCATTACAACAGAGATGAAAAAATGCTAATCATTTTTTAATTGTGTTGTTGAGAGTAGTCAACATTAAGAATTTTTAAGAATAAATGGAAAGGGGAGAATGACATTGCTGTGGTTTCTTGCCCCTATTATAACTTATTTATATAATCCTCAGCTGTCCATCAAAACCACACTAAGGAGTTTATAAACATGCTACTCATTTGGAACATTTTTTTAATTTCATATCCTCCTCTACCCTTAAAAATACATGGCTCTTACTATATATTTTCTTTAATTAGTTCATATTTCTCAGTTGTTGGAGATATATAGTTTTATGTTGAATTATGTTCTTCAAAACAAGAATTCTTATAGATCAGAAAACTTTGGAACACTTTTTAGATGAATAATGTCTAAAAAGAGGGGCTCTGTTTAAAACAACTCGGTCAAATCATTAAAAAACATGGTGTTCAGAAATATGTATTTATAAAGTTACAGTTAAAGAAAACACATATAAAAGGGGAATAAAGAATCTTTATTTCAGTAGTATTTAGTATTTAGTAGTAAAAACTACTGATGATCAATGCTTCTTGATCATTCTCTACAACCTCTACCCAGATATTTCAGTAGAACTTAGCTGTATTTAAAGTATATAAAAACACTTCTTACACTTAAATTAGAAATTTTTAAAAAAGTGATAACTTTCACTTCTCGCTATCATTTTAACCCTTTAGACTTTTCAGTTGTACCCCTTTCCCTTCCCCTATATCTACATCTTGTATGCCAGTCCAAAATAAGCTGATTAATGCTCACTAAATACTATCTAGTATTTGGGCTCTGAAAGCCTGGATTCAAATTCAGATTTCCCTGTTTACTTAGTGTGTGTTTCTCAGTTTCCTTAATTAAGCATGGATAATGATTATTCCCTCCTGGATGTGGAAGATGGAAGGGGCTATGAAACTTAAATCAAGTGAAGAATCTAAAGTGTATTGAACAGAATGGAAGCTCAATAAAATATAGTTTATGTTTCTTGCAACCACCATGCCTTAGTGCATGCTATTAACTCCACAAGGAATACACGTCCATGTTTTCACCTGAAAAAATCCTTTCCATTCTAATTCATCTTTGGAAATTCTGTCGTTATTTGTAAGTAGAAGTAACTTTTCCTTTTCCTGCACACCGATTACAGTTTGTTTATAGCTATCTTGCAGTGTGTTTCTAATTCCCTAGCTCACCTTCAAGCTTTATGTGGACAGAATAGTGATATTTGATACCCTATGATGCCTCTCATAGTGCCTAAGACATAATAAGGACTCATTATAATCATTCACTTACTTATTTTCATAAATATTTATTGGGTGTCTATTAAGTGCTCTGCCCTAGAGAGAGAAGGCAGAACTCACTGAGTTTATGTTCCGGGCAGAAAGGGGCAAATGATAGCTTAATGACTGAATAAATAAATGACTTGGCTGTATCTCTGGCCTCAGTGTCAAAAGCTCTCCTCTAGCACCCTTGTTTTTCTATACTTCACAATGTAGCAAACAACTTATAACTTAGTTGTTTTTTGTTGTGTGAACAAGTGAAATTTATTAAAGTTACCTAGAGGAAAAACACAAGAGAACAGGAAAAGGGAATGGCAGAATGTCTCAATAATAAGATGCTAGAAAGTACTTAATAAAAGATTCAGGATCTAATTGAGAGATTTAGGGGT